CTTTTTCTCCCTTTTCTTTTTTTTTTAGACTTTGGGGATCTCCAGTGATACAACTTCTAACTTGTTTCAATACAGTTTAACAAAGTAAAACTTGCACGTCAAGGACAATTATATGTTCAGCGTCAGTGTTGGAAAAACTGATTGTACAGTGTTTCATCACTCAGATATCAGATCATCGAGCTAAAAAAGGTTGATCAGCTCAAAAAATTTATGTCCCTTGGTCTACCCCCAAAAAATGGGTAGGGTCAGCATTTTTTTCTAGGGTTGGTCGGGAAACAGGAAACACAACATTTATTTTTCTAGGCCTCTGTAGCACCATATGTCTCTTGAATAGTCACAGACATTTGGCAATCACTGTGATAGAATATTTTAACAGTTCTTATATAATTACGTTGTCCTGTTTATTTTCCAGGTTGGAAGAGCTGAATGTAATAGATGTGAAGTTCCTGTATGGATGTCAGGTCCCCACTGTGGTTTTTGTTTACCAGGTGAGTTGGTTTGTTGTACAGTACAGGCCACGAAGTAAGCATCAAGTTCTGCGGGACGTACCGCGATATTCCGTGAGTTCTTGAGTTCCGTGGAGCTTCGGCAGCCTGGGTGCCATCCTCCGTAGTTACCGCTGGTTCCCTATTGTTGCTAGCTACCATGGACTACATGTACGGAGGATGGCACCCTGGCCAGAGCCTCGAAGGAGGTGATTTTTTCTTTAAAGAATCCATAAAATTAAATCTGTGTGGCCTAAGTGGTGAATTTCATTCTAGGAGCATGTTTTGTAAAGGTCTACATGTATTTGAGCTCATTTCACAACATATCTATCATATACAGTGTGCATGTACCTGGAATTCTAAGACAATGCTATTCTTAATTTTTTTCAGGACCCTCACGGCCGTCATGTTAAGACTTATGAAATCTCGGTGCGAGACAAGGAGTTCAGCAAAGGGCCTTGGAAGCAAGACAATGTGGAGACGGAGGCATCCATGGTCATAGCCGGTAAGAAAAATCTTGAAGACATGATATTTGCTTTAAGTATCACTTCCGGATCCAGAAACACTTTATTTGGGTCGCTGAGCTGTCGGTTTCTATGTCAGTTTGTCCAGCACAAATTAGGTTGACAGCGTGTGGGTGGGTTGACGGGCAAAATGACGGGTCAAAAGGTCAGGCACAGGAAATAAGGTGAACTTGAAAGTCACAAAAGCCAAAATATAATACTTCCAGAAGCCTAAAATCTCTGATGTCTTGTTTTCTGTTGACCGTGTATCTGTCATTCAGTCAAGACTCTAGACTAGGCCTTAACTTTTATTGTTGGTTGCACTAATGTCTATATAATATTGTTGATGTTGATGTTGGTTGTATTTGTAGCATCTATGTTGTCAATGTTAGTTGCTCTAAAATTAGTGGTTGTATTTGTAGTGTCTATATTGTCAATGTTGGTTGTCCTAAAAGTGTTCAACTTGGTTGTAATTATAGTTCCGGAGCCGTTCTGTGGTTCCCTGATCATCGGACAGGAGTCCATCACCTACCACAATGGGGACAAGTACGTGGCTGTTGCACCGCCGGCAATTAAGGTAGGTGTTTCAACTGTTTGTTAAACTTAAAGAAACTAGGTCAGATTCTTATTCTTCTGTTATCCCTGTATACCTGTTTTATATTGTAGCACTACTAGCAGATTGTACAATCGGTATTATAAATAAACAGAGCAGTAGTTTGTTGGGTTAGACCATGTAAAGGTAAACATTGTGCATTTTCTTTGCAAATTTTAATGTTATACTTATGAAGCTTTGTCACATTTGCGGAACTGACTATCACCTCTTTAAGATGTCAAACCTGATGAGAGCAGACTGTAAGGTTTGAACCACACACACCGGGAAGGACACCTTGTATTTTGATTTATGATTTCACTGTTATGTTTAATTACTATTATTTTATATTACCTTATTTTCTGTATTGCGCTCCCTTGGAAATCAGCCCCAAGGGGCTGAAGGGACCACCATCTTTAAGATGAATAAATAAAAAAATAAATAAAGACACCTGCTCTTTTCAATAAGTGTGGTTGGATCTTTAAATTGAGGTGTGTTTCTCCCCAAACACTGGACCTCCGGCTTTACGTCCTATCCTATCATTCCCTAACAAAAGCTAGGTACAGCTAGCTCATATACACCTGAGTTGAGTAAGGAAATAGGTGTAAAGTGCCTTTCCCAAGGACGCAACAATGGGGCCTGCCAGGGATTTGAACCCAGAACCCTCGGATTCTGAGTCAACAACCCTAACCACAAGACCACCTTGCCACCCTTATGTTAAACTTTAGCATTCTGTGTTTCCGTCCTCTCCCCTCCAGCAAAGCACGTTGATCTGCCACGGGCGTGTGGATGCTAACGGTAGCCGGTACCTGCTGGGAGACATGTCAGGACGACTGTTCATGCTACTGCTGGAGAAGGAAGAACTGATCGACGGGTCTGTCACTGTCAAGGACCTCAAGGTCGAGCTACTGGGAGAGGTACGATTCAGTTCTTAATATGGCCATGGCAAAAGAAAAAAATATTCTGGATAAGGGAATCTGTCTTATATTGACATTTATTGCCATTTCTAAGCATATTTTCTGTATCATTCCATATATTTGAACAGTCTTGAAGCATTTAAAATAGCACCAAAACAGGCCATGTGAGGTGTCACAATACAAAACAGGCAAATGTTTCTGTCTGTAAAATAGCATTTTTGCCTCACAGATATCAGTGTGCTATGGGATAGGATTGATTTAACTTTCTACATCAAAAGAATGACCAGAAAATTACTTTGAAAATCATACAACATACAATGTACAATATGTACATGTACAAGTATGCTTACATTGACAAGTTCCTGTGTCCCACAGACATCGATAGCAGAGTGTCTGACATACCTGGACAATGGTGTGGTATACCTGGGATCTCGACTGGGCGACTCCCAACTTATCAAGGTAAAAAAAGGCACCTTCATACATGTACAATGTATGTGACATTGTTAATCCTGGCGTGTCATTAGAACAGATAGAATAGAATTTCTAGTGCTGGAAATTACAGTTACAACTCATTAACTGTTTTTCTGTTGAGAGCTGAATGTGGAGTTCTTTTTACAGTTGACGGGGTGCTCATGTATAGTACATGTATAAAGCTTCAACCATATAGCAATTTAAGGTTCTTACATGGAAGTTATCCTGTTGATAGCTGAATGTGGATGCAGTTCTTCTCACAGTTGACAGGGGGTGCTCATGTATAGTACATGTGTAAAGCTTTAGTTTTTCCATTGACAGCTGAATGTGGATGCAGATGACAGTGGCTCCTACGTCCACGTGATGGAAACGTTCACCAACCTCGGTCCCATCGTGGACATGTGTGTCGTTGACCTTGAGAGACAAGGTCAAGGTCAGCTGGTCACGTGTTCCGGCGCGTACAAGGAGGGCTCGCTGCGGATCATACGGAACGGGATCGGTATTCACGAGCACGCTAGCATCGACCTACCAGGAATCAAAGGTAGTTTTTTTTTTCAATTCCAACAACAAGAGATGTTTAGAATACACTTCATTTTTTAATGTCTCCATATTTAAAATAGAACAGTCCCAGTATGTTATATTGCCCATTTACCCGGTGAGGGCTAGTCCTTTATAATATAATAGCCTTCAGCTATACAAATCAATGCTATACATATGTATTTTCAGGATTTCAAGTAGTGCAATAAAGGGTTAGCAGCTGGGTATGCAGTTTTCCTCACAGTTGACAGGGGGTGCTCATGTATAGTACAGTATAAAGCTTTAGTACCATACAGTTTTATAATAGCTTTCTGAGCTAACCTTTGTTTTTGCCATTCCAGGGATCTGGCCCCTGTGTGTGGATCCCAATGGAACGATGGATGATACTTTGGTACTAGCCTTTGTTGGGCAGACAAGGTAACACTGCTATTTGTCATCCCCCTCTATTTATAAAATTTAATAATATACATGTAGAGTCAAAACTACCCATTTAGAAGATATACAGAAAGTGGTCACATTGACCAGGTAGTCCGTATGAAAAGGTGGTCACCTCTACAGGTTAAACTGTATGCTGTCATTGAAGTTTTAGGCTTGGGAATTCAGTGCAAAATGGTCAGATAATTTAGATTTTAAACATGCTCACCAGTTTAGATTTCCTTGTAGAAAATACATCTCAACTTATTTTACACATTCAGTCAGGTGTAGTGATGCATACCTAAACTCAATTTTAGGTTCAGGTCCGGATTCAAGTCCAGAGGTTTAGGTTCAGTTCCGGACTTGTAAGTCTGGACCTAAACCCATGGCATGTACAAAATTGCATGTTCGCAACCTTGCAATGTTGTTTGGGCAAAACTTTGGCCACATAACATGGAGGCCGGTACTTGACGATGCCCGATGGCAATGTTTTCTTCATTTTGCAGCAAAGATTTTGCAATCTATGGTAGGTTTTAGGTGGTTTGAAAAGAAAGGGGGTATGTGAAATGGTCTTTTATGGTAATAAGTCCGGACTCGGTTCTTGACTTTTAGGTTTTTTTGGACTTGAACCTAAACATTCTTACAAGTACGGATCCAAGTCCAGTGAACCAGTATGCAGCAGTAGTCAGGTGATGTTCTCAATGTGCCATTTTTTGTTTACCTTTCAGAGTGCTGCTGTTGAGTGGGGAGGAAGTAGAAGAGACAGAACTGCCAGGGTTTGAGGACAAGCAGACGTTCTTCTGTGGGAATGTGATGGGGGGACAGCTGCTACAAATAACAGCCGCCTCCGTACGATTGGTCAGCAGGCAGACCAAACAGCTTGTCAGGTAAGCTCATCAAGGAAGGAACCAATCAGAATCTCTGATACTTTTCTGATAGAAAATTTCATTTATCTCCACCTGTCCAGTTATTTACAAAAGTACCATTTTTAAGATGTATATATAAGAAACCTTACAATTCCTTTTGTAAAGTTTTTTAACAGTGGGTTGCTTATACACCTGCTTCAAACAGGGTTTAAGTCAAAGGTAAAAAAATAGGAAGAAAAGACAGTATTTTATTGGAATCTTCTCACATACAATGTAAAGAGAAATGGCATTAATGTATTCTATGATATGTGTACAGATTTAATGCCATATTAAATCAATATCTGTCTTAAATTGACACATGTTTGAACTGTAGTTTCCAACACAAGAAATTGGACTTACCCAAATTTTTGACTGTGCGACTCTTTGTCTTTGTCAAGGAATGAGCAATCTACAACTTCTGTGATACATGTACATGTATAAGGTACTCTAAGAGACATGAAAAGTACGGCTCAAACTTAATGACTTCGACTTTAAAGTGACACAGATAAACTTCCAATATGAGACTTATTGCCATATTTGTTTAATAGATTAAATTGATCGGTTAGTTTTGTCTTTGTATGTCTAGATGAGATTTATTGCCATATTTTGTTTAATAGATTAGATAGTTGCATCAGGTTGGTAAGACACTGAGTAAAGAGACTCTTTTTACACAACCGAGTCTTTTATTCAGCTCACGTTTTGCGTAGATATGTAAATATTGTACATTTGGCAATGCATCTGTAGCAGCGACGCCTGTGCTGCATTACATTGTGAACCAGTCAGAACTGCCCTGAGGAAGGTGACAGACAGTCACCAAAACGTCAGCTGAATAGAAGACTTGGTTGTGTAAAAAGAGTCTCTTTACTCACCTTAGCAAATATTCTGTCCCCCCCCCCAGTGAGTGGAAACCCCCGTCGGAGAAGAACATCAGTGTGGCGAGTTCCAACACGACCCAGGTGGTGTGTGCCGTGGGGCAGGTCGTCTACTACATCGAGATCCACGAGGGAGAACTCAAGCAGCTGGGGTACGCACCTTCAATTTTACACAAGAAAACATTGTTTTGCGCTGTTTCTTCTTCCTCTCCAAACAAATAAGGTTAATGCCCTGGACCAGATGACTGTCACAATGTTAACCTAAAATGAAGAAAGTTGTACTTACCATAGGCAGAGGTAGCCTGTATCCAGCTTCCACTGATTTGATAACCTGCAGAATAATTAAAAAAGAAAGAAGTCCACACTATCCACTCAAATGCTAACATACCTGTCCTTGGTGCTGAACACTATCCACACACATGCTAACATGCCTGTCTTTGGTGCTGAACACTACACACATGCTAACATGTATCTGTCCTTGGTGCTGAACACTATCCACACACATACTTACATACATTTGTACCTGTCCTTGGTGCTGAACACTTTCCACACACATGCTTACATACCTGTGCTTGGTGCTGGGGGAAGTTTAACTGCAGTTCTGCATTTACAGCACACTAATCCTTTTTATAAAAATCTTGGAATTCGTCTTTCTTCGTGGGATTAGCTTGGAAACACCTTCATTCACCTTTATTCACTCTGAAACATGACTCACTGTAGCAGACATCCTGGAGAGGCCATTATATGATTAAGTAAGAGTTAACAGAGCAGTTATTATTATTAGCTTTTTAGGGGGCTAGACTATCAAAATACTGTACAATTGTGAGAATACAGGGCTCGAAATACTGGGCGCATGTGCACCTTAGTGCACCCAAAATTGGAACTGTGCACCCAAGTTTTTTCTGTGGGTGCACCAATGCACTCAAATATTTTGGAGGTATTTTGTTTATATGAAATGTATAATAGTATACAGGATATTCTTGTCATCTAAGGGTCAGAAAAATAATAAAATCTTTGTTGTAGTACTTGTGTAAGATTTTGCAGTTAGTTCACAATTCGGATTCAAGCTTAGAAAAGGGCAGTAAGATTGATAATTAGGTTTTGTTTTACATGGTACACCCAAAAAAAAATTTGTGCACGCAATTTTTTAGGTTGGTTGCACCAGTGCACCTATTCCCAAAAATGGATTTCGAGCCCTGGAATTCAAGTAAGGCCATGTTGATTTGATTATATGGATGACATCCCCAAAATTGATGCGCGCTTGCGAATAAAAAAATAGTTTTGCAAAAAAAAAAAGTTGTTTTCATTATGAAATCTACGTGGTCATGAGGGTTGAACAAATGGGACGGAATATGGTTTGGCAAATAATCTAGTCTTCAAGTTCATTTCTTTACAATTTTGTCTTTTTTTGTTTGATTTTGGCATTCTACGACATTGGTATGGTTTTTTTGTAACTTACGGTATATTTTTGCTCATTTTGCAACTGTTTCGTACGATTTACAGTATGGTTGAAAACCTTTGTTTTTTTTAAACGGCCGAAAATTCATGCGCGCGGATGTCATCCATATAATCAAATCAACATGGCCTAACTGGAATCTACTGTATCCATGTTTGCAGTGAGACGGTGATGGCGCGTGAGGTTGCGTGTCTGGACGTGACGCCGCTGGTGGAGGGGAGTGACCGTGCTCACCTGTGTGCTGTGGGACTGTGGACGGACATCTCTGCACACATGCTGCAGCTCCCCAACCTGGAACCCATGCACGTAGAGATGCTGGGGGGAGGTAGGAATCAGTACTGTTCCAGACCTGTAGGAATGATTTAATGTGTAGTAGAGCTGTAATATTGTTGACCCAAGGCTCACTCACTCACTGTCCGGTTTATCGTCTGTTGCTCCCCGTCTTCCGAGTGGTAGACGTGCTTGCACTGAGGTACTGAGGCTTGATGGCAGCCCGTCATTGGCCTCTGTCCTGTGGGATGATGTTATCTAAGTTCAAGTGGTGGAAGTCCTCCCTTATGTTGTCAAATTCCTCCTTGGGCAACCACGAGAGTTTGGGCCCTCCACATCCAATGTGAGGATCTTCTTTGGCCATTTGTCGCTGTACATGTCCATTCTCTGAAGGTGGCCGTACCATCTCAGTCTGTTGTATCTTACTGTGTCCTGGATGTTATTGTACTCCAAGCAGAGTACGTAGCTGTTCAGTTGACTGGCTGTCTGCAAGAATCATTTAATATCTTTTCCACAGTGTTCTAGCCATTGACCAACAAAAATCATGGTGTGTAAAGATAAGGAAAAAGACGCCACGAAACTAAGCTTAGTATACCAACAAAGTTTGCTAAAAATTTGTCTTATAATGAAGGAAATAGACTGTTTCAGGGGGTCAAGATTTCAAAATGGGAGGAGTGTGCCTTCAGCACTTCAAACAATGTTACGTCAAACAAAATTGAGGAGACAGGAAAAATTTCAGGCTTGCTAGAAGTTCGTAGAATATGATGATAATATATGCAGTTCAGCTGTAAATCACCACTTTGCCACAATTTTAGGCATTGAAATGTAAGTTAGTGAGAGACATTTACTAGTTGTGTGAAAGAAAACTCCAATATCCTCCATGATTCCCTGTTCTGTACAGAGATCATCCCCCGTTCCATCCTGATGACCACATTTGAAGGGATCCACTACCTGCTCTGTGCTCTGGGTGACGGCTCACTGTTCTACTTCAACCTCAACCATGAGACAGGTGAGAACTGTCCTGACAGTACAAAGTATATGTTTACCTTCTGTTGCACTGTCAGCAAATGTGACAGTTGTCCAGTAACAGCATTTCTTGTGTTACGTGGGTAGCCTTGTGTTGTGTGTATTTCCTAAGTTGGATTTGTTTTGGTCTTTAATTTCATATATGGAATTATACCTGCACACTCCCTATTTGGGTATATCATTTACCTTATGCAGTATTTCCTATGCTTATCGCTAGGTGGCGCACGTGTACAAAGCTCTAATCGCAAAGCATCACGGGATATCATGACGTAATGACATTGTTCGCCGCCATTTTCCTTGTGCGTTCGCAGAGGGGTGCACGTTCGTTTCCCTACTCCTTATTTTTTCGGATTTTCTTTCGGCGTTAGGCCCAAAAAGAAGGATAAAACGAAGTCTTCTGCCCACGAGGGCGATTCAGGTAGCCTTTCGGAGGACCAGACGGGTCGTAACGGCAAGAGAAGCGGCCTGTTTCCCAACGCTAGTCAGGAAAAATTCCTGGCCGTGGAAAACACAGGCGTGTCTGCACAAGCCTCCGGACAGGAGGAAGAGGAGTCGGGTGAACGAAAAGTCCCCGCTCCTACAGCTGGAGGTTCGGAGGAAAAAGAGAAGAACTCCAACCTCATTCCGCCGTTTGGGAGCGAAATGCCCCTTCGGCGTTGGCACCGGGAACATCCGCCGCTTGGGAGCGAAATGCCCCTTTGGCGTTGGCACCGGGAACATCGGTCAAGGAAGGAGACGGCGCGGAGCTGCCGCCGCCCCGGCCTAAATTTCCTCCGGACTCGGAGGAGTTGGGCTCCCCGACCGTGCCGAAGCTTGGTGGGGAATAGTCTCCTCCACCCCCACCTCCATCAGAAACACCCTTCCCGCCTGGATTCGACGCTGCCTCTTTTCTTCAGTGGATCAGTTCCAGCTTGGGACTTCCTCAGGCGTCCAGTTCATCCCGTCAACCTCGGGACGTTGACGGGGCGGTAGCGTCGACCAGCCGAGCCGGTGTAGTCGGTTCCGGCGAGAGCATCCAGGTTCTGAAGTGGAAGAGTGTTCGGAGGAAGGAAAAATCACCTTTTTCTGACTCTGACGAAGGTAACTCCTTGTCGTTTGATAATCCCTACGATAATAACTTCAAATAAGTATTTGGAGGAACCGGTGGGAAAATCGGTCTTGAAGACATGTTTCATATCTTGTTTCATGTCCTTGCCACACATTTCACGTCTATACTGAGTCATAGTAGAGGAAGCTGATCCCAAAAAACACCAAAGACGATTCTATCGCTTTGCAAACAGCATCGGGTTTAGAGGATGGTCCGAACCCTTAGTGAAGAGAGGAAGGAAAACTTTTCCCACTCCACCTAATGTTGAATTAGCACTTCGGGCGCCGATTCTAGACCCAGTAGTGGCTAATATGATCAAGCATGATACCGTAAACACTGATAAGAATTTTAGTGATTGCCAGGATAAGATGCTCATGGCTGCTAACCTTTTAGTAGAGTTGTTGGCAGCAGTTAAACTCCAAATTCGTGAGTAAAGTCCTCGCTCAAAAATGTAGCGACCTGCTCGGGAACTTCAGATTCTTTCCCCTTCTTAATTTGGAGACACCTTTTTGGAGAAGGTTAATTCAGCCGATTAGGCTAGACGCACTTTGAGTAAGGCTTATAAGTCAGCCCCTTCGAGCACTTCTAGGGCTAGGGACAGTTTCAGTCCAACCGTTCAAAGTTTAACTATAGCTACAACAAGTACTCCTCAAACTAAAAGGGTTACATTTTTCGTCCCTACAACAACAACAATGCTAGACCATGGTCAAATGCCGGGGGTAAGAAAACCTCGGGGTTTCGTTCAGCGCAGGGCACAAAAGGCCCAAACAAACAGTAGCTCTTCCTCGTCATCAGACTCTGCTCTGTTCTCCGGTTCAACACGCAGGGCGAACAGCTTTTTTCATGGGAAACTGGGAGTCCACTCCGGTTCAGTTCGTCCAGCCGGTCACAAATATATCTGGGGAGGACAGAGCAGAGGTTGTAGACGACGAAGTGCACAGTATGTTGGAGAAAGGTGCAGGGGTCCAAATCGAACCCTGCGAGAGCCAATATGTTCTACGATTTTTCTAGTCCCGAAAGCTCGGGGAGGCTGGAGACCGGTTATAAACCTAAAGTCTTTAAACAAGTTGTTCTGAAACGTACATGTACTTGCAAGTTCGAAGGGATAAACCTAGTCAAAGAGTTGTGGAAAAAAGGAGGTTTCCTAGCAACTATAGATCTAAAGGATGCGTAGTTTACCATCCCAATAGCTCAGAGCGATCGAAAATTCCTTCGTTTTTCGTGGAGAGGAGTTCTTTGGGAATTTCAGTGTCTTCCCCTCGGTCTGACGTCGGCGCCGAGGGTATTTACTAAGGTTTTGTGGCCGATTGTGCCCATTCTAAGGAGACAGGGATTACTAGTAGTAGTTTTCCTAGACGACTTACTGATCATTGCAAGGTCGAGGGAACAATGCTTAGAGCACATTGCTATAGCCAGAGAGCTTCTAGAGCAACTCGGTTTGTTCTCAACCTGGAGAGGTCGCAGTTGGTACCGTCTCAGGTAGCGACTTTCCTAGGCCTTGTTCTCGATTCTCGTACTTTGACAATTTACCTAACCGAAGACAAGTTAGACAAGGTAGTGAGTTCTTGCCTATCACTTCTAGAACAGGAGGTGATAGGAATCAGACAGCTAGCCAGCGTGGTGGGGCTGTTAGAGTCCGCCAAGCAAGCCATTCTTCCAAGGCCCTTACTTTTCCGGGCTCTGCAACAGCTTCTCAATTTTCGACATAAAGAAGCCGAGAGAATTTTGTCTCTTTAGTCAGTCTAACCCCAGATGCAGTAAAAGATCTACAGTGGTGGATCGGTCATGTGCGCGAAGTAAAGTCTTTGTTCCGTCAAACCTGACAATTTGCACGGATGCCTCACTGGAAGGATGGGGCGCGCATTGTTATGGTCAGGAGACAGGCGGGCGCTGGTCGCAAACAGAAGCGCGCATGCACTGTGACCAACTGACTAGAATTGAAAGCGGCCTCCCTGGCGCTAAGAAGCTTTGTGAGCGCAGATACTCAGCATGATCTGCTAAGGCTGGACAACGCAACAGCCGTTGCATATGTGAATCACGTGGGGGGAACAAGGTCGCCAGATTTGGCAGCCTTGGCCCTGGAGATGTGGTCGTGGGCCCTGGAAAGAGGCCTGACGTTGTCTGCAACTCACGTTCCCGGATTGACAAACACCCTAGCGGACAAGTGTTCGCCAGTTTTTTCTGGACAAGGTAGAGTGGCAACTGAACCGCTCAGTTTTTCCTGTCATTGAACAATTGGACAGGCAATGCATTGACAGTAGATCTGTTTGCTTCTCGTATGAACGCTCAGCTGAAGGAGTATGTCTCTTGGCGCCCAGAACCAGAGGCCATGTCGGTGGATGGCCTAAACATTCACTGAGGCAACCTGGGGCTAGCGCATGCCTTTCCCCGCTTCAGCCTAGTGTTCAAGGTACTGAGGAAAGTCCAGTCAGACGTAGCAATAGTGATTTTGATACCTCCAGTTTGGGAGTCTCAGGCTTGGTACCCCAAGGTGTTGAACATGTTGTTCGAGAGTCCGGTTCTCCTGCCACAGAGCTGGGATCTGCTGTTCCTGCCGCACAACAGGAGACCCCATCCGCTGTTGCCAGATCTGATGCTTGCCGCGTGGCCAAGATCAGGCGACAGTTGCAGGGTCGGGGCCTTTCGGCAGGGGCTTCAGACCTCATCCTCTCGGCTTGGAGAGAAAGCACTTCTAGACAGTATCAGTCAGCATGGGCTCAGTGGGCCAGCTGGTGTGATAGAAGGAAGATTGATCCAGTTTGCGGCTCTATAGAGAGCGTAGTAGAATATCTTGAATGGATGTTCCGACAGAACTACTGCTATACATTGTATGTCAATTGGGGTGGCTCGTTCTGCGATCTCGTCTGTACACTTACCAGTAGACCATTGTAATGTGGGTAGTCACCCTCTAGTGTCCAAACTGATGAGAGGTCTGTTTCACAAACGTCCTCCTTGTCCAAGATATGTTTCAACATGGGACGTCAGTCGGGTCCTAGAGTACCTTCTGCATTGTTGCCAAGCTAATAGTCTTAGTTTGAAACAGCTGGTTCATAAGTTGGTAACACTAGCGGCATTGGTGTCAGCCGACAGAGGTCAGACTTTAGCGGCTCTTGACTTGAGATTCATAGAAAAAAAAAAAAGAAAATGTAGAAACGGTGTTTCTTGGACAATTCCTACCCTGCTGAAACTTCTAGACCAGGGAAACCTGCCAGAAAGTGTTTTTGGGCGGCCTTCCCGCAGGACAGGCGCTTGTGTGCCTTCACATACCTGAAAGAATATCTAAGGCGGACTTCTTCCCTTCGGAAAGAGGGGGGGGGGACAGAAGTTGTTCATATCGTTCAGCAGACCACACAGGCCAGTTGGTTCTGCGACCCTGGCCAGGTGGGTTAAGTCAGTGTTAGGCACGGCAGGTGTTGACACAGCAACTTTCTCAGCTCATTCCACTCGAGGAGCATCCACTTCAGCTGCAACAGCTGCTGGGGTGTCTCTACATAGCATCATGAATGCAGCGGACTGGTCACGAGAGTCTACCTTCCTGAAGTACTACAGGAGGGACAACAACCAACACACGTTTGACCAGGCTGTGCTGTCCACGGCTCTGAAGTCTGCATAAGGTAAATGATATACCCAAATAGGGAGTGTGCAGGTATAATTGAGGATTAGGCAAATTGTACTTACCATGAAGGATAATCCCAATTATACCTCACACGAACTATTTGGGTATATCTTCCCACCCTTGCTGTTCTTCAGCTCCCAAGTAGCTGAAAATGCCCGCCCTTGGTGAACAGCACAGACTCTTTCTCGCACGTCGTCAAATGGCGGCGAACAATGTCATTACGTCATGATATCCCGTGATGCTTTGCGATTAGAGCTTTGTACACGTGCGCCACCTAGCGATAAGCATAGGAAATACTGCATAAGGTAAATGATATACCCAAATAGTTCGTGTGAGGTATAATTGGGATTATCCTTCATGGTAAGTACAATTTGCCTAATCCTCAATTATATGAGAAATTATGATCTAAAAGACAATAAGGCAGTCACACAAAATGTTGAAAAATCAGACATTTTCAATGAAATTTGCTTAGTGTCATTTCAATGAAATCTTCGTCACTCAGCAGTTGCAGTTTCTAGTGGAAAGGAGGTGTTATGTTTTCTGTGTCATCTGCAAGGTGCTATGTAGCCAGCATCAGTTTTTCCTTTAATTGCAGGAACTTTGTGGCATTTGAAGGAATATTTTAATTTTATCAAACTTGATGGAAAAAATTGGCAAAAATCTTGGGTGTAAATATAAAAACATCAAAAGGATCACCACTTCCCACTCTTAACCCCATGATTTGCCTCTCAAAATGTGGGTAATTAGGTTTTGAAGGCTTGAAAATCGAAAATTTGACCCTGGACTCCCTACAAATGTATATCGTGAGCACTCTCCCCCCAGGTCCAATCATGAACCTGGGTGGACAGAAAAAGATTTCGAGCTGGCAAGAGCCTTGATCGTCTGGTTGATGTTTTTTGTTCCACGTGCCTCACTTTCAGGCTACCTGAGCGAACGCAAGAAGGTGACGCTGGGCACCCAGCCCACGGTCCTGCGTACGTTCCGCTCGCTGTCCACGACCAACGTGTTCGCCTGCTCGGACCGCCCCACCGTCATCTACTCCAGCAATCACAAACTGGTCTTCTCTAACGTCAACCTGAAGGAGGTTAACTACATGTGTCCACTCAACTCTCAGGGATACCCTGATAGGTAAATATAGAATACAACTACATTGTGTCCACTCAACTCTCAGGGATACCCTGATAGGTAAATATAGAACACAACTACATGTGTCCACTCAACTCACAGGCCTGGGATACCCTGATAGGTAAATATAGAACACAACTACATGTGTCCACTCAACTCTCAAGGATACCCTGATAGGTAAATATAGAATACAACTACATGTGTCCACTCAACTCTCAGGGATACCCTGATAGGTAAATATAGAATACAACTACATGTGTCCACTCAACTCTCAGGGATACCCTGATAGGTAAATATAGAACACAACTACATGTGTCCACTCAACTCTCAAGGATACCCTGATAGGTAAATATAGAGCACAACTACCTGTGTCCACTCAACTCTCAAGGATACCCTGATAGGTAAATATAGAGCACAACTACATGTGTCCACTCAACTCTCAGGGATACCCTGATAGGTAAATGGAAATCCTATGTGCAGTAGACTAGGGCCTAGAAAAAAACTGTAGTGTTTCCTGTTTCCTGAAAAAATTAGGGTTGGTAGGTAGGGATTTTTTTATTTATTTTTTTTTAAGACTTCAGTGATATCTCTATAGGGATCCAACTTATACAATACAGTTTAACAAAGTAAGACTTGCATGAGGACACTTTTATTTTCAATGTCAATGATAGAAAACCAGTAACGTTTTATCACTCAGGTGTCAAATCATGCAGCTAAAAAAAAGGTTGATCAGCTCAAAAAATATGTCCCTTTAAGGGGTCCACCCCAAAAAAAGTCTAGGGTCGGCAGTTTTTTCTAGGATCAGTCTGGAAACAGGAAACAAAACATTTTTTCCTAGACCTAGGGATGACTTTATTCTTATTCCTACATGACTTAAGTTTTCTTTTTGTTTGTTTTTAGTTGCAGTAGACCCATTAAAAAAATCCCAGTACTTTTGTAGAGTCAATAAAGGATTCTTGCCAGTTTCACTCTTACAAAGGATGTCTTGACGTTATGAATCAAGTCGCAAAGTTTGTTTTTTCATGAGGATGATGCAATTAGAAGTCAGTGACCAATCGTAACACACCTTGCTTTTTGTACTTGCAGCCTGGCACTGACCAATGACAGCACACTTACCATCGGCACCATTGATGAGATCCAAAAGTTGCACATCAGGACTGTACCCCTCTACGAGTCACCCAGGTAATATTTTGTGATACTTTTGTATCAATAAGTTACTATGATCATGAATTGTAAATTTTGAAACTAGTGTGCTGCATGTAGGTGATCTATTGGCAGGGCTATAAGCTAAAAAAAGGAATTTCAAAGTAATTTCAAACAAGTTTTAACTCAATAAAGAGCTATTTTTCAACTTATGGTGACAGAGAAGACAAATGCTACCAACAGTATTTACAGGTACATTGTACCAGGGGAAATTCCCCCTAACTCTTTTTGACAAATACAATAAACAGTAGACCACGGCTTAATGTTCCATTCCAAGGACTGTGACCCTTAAAAGTATTGTGCATGTTAGGGATTCGAGCTCCGAACCTCATGGTTTGTTTGTTTGTTTATTTGATCGATTTCCATTAGTGCGTACAATCAATGATACAACACTAGTCTTCCTGGAGTCGTATTGAATACTATACATAGTATACATACATATACAAAAAGCATAACGTAACTTAAATACAGCATGGCAAACAAAATGCAACATAGCAAACGAAATACAACATGGGAAATGCGAATACAACATAGGGTATAAAACTGTTGAGAGGTCCAGAGGCAGGGTTGCTACCGCTAGACTATGCACGCTACTAAGCTGTTGATTGTTTGTTTTAATGAAATTGTTGAGGGAAAATCAGAATCTTTTTCTTTGTCGCAATATTGAAACATTGTTCCTTTAGGCGAATTGCATACCAGGAAACGTCCCAGACGTTTGGCGTACTGAGCACGCGTACGGAGGTAGAGGACGCCAGCGGGGGGAGCGGGACACAGCCGGTACGACCGTCGGCCAGCACGACGGCGCTGAGCACCAGCGTCAGTCCCAGCAAGAACGCCCTGCGCTCGTCCAACGACAGCGACGGGGCCTTCGGAGAGGAGATCGAGATCCACTCCCTGCTAGTAGTGGACCAGCACACGTTTGAAAGTGAGTTGTGTGTATATGTCAGGTAATATGGTTTACAATGTACATAATGTACATTATAATGACTGTCACAATGACAATGGACTTCATTACATATTCACACCCTACATGGACCAATGCACTAAGTTTGATAACCTGCAAACCTGCTTCCTAACACAATTGTTTAAAACATTCAATGTGATTTCAGGGCAGCAAAACTGGAAATATTTTGAATAAGGCAATCTTCGTGATATTGACACATACTGCTTCACATCAGCACATTTGGGTCAGTATTTCATGCTTAGGGCTTTTAAGATTGCAGAAACAAGCCCCAAAGATTAGACCTTTATTTTCTGGGTGGTACCCTAAAAATCAGCCCAGGGACCTTCCAGTAACCATTTTCCGTCAGAATTTTTGGTATTTGTGCTGTATGAGGGTCAATATACATTGGGATAGTGTGGTTTCCACTCAGTATGTAGATAAGTGACTATAATCATTACATTGACTTTGAAAAATCTGGTCTTCAAGCCCTAAAAACTGCAGAGTGCTTTCAATGTGTCTACCTCATGGCACCCATTTGCCTACTCAGAAGGAAATGGGCCGCTCTGAACAGAGCTAGGTGTGGAGTAGGTAGGACCAGAGACAATCTGCTAAAATGGGGACGGGTGAGCTCAGCTGACTGCCCATGTGGACACCCTGCCCAAAGCATGCAACACATCCTACAGGACTGCGAATTAGGACCATCTGTCACCAAACGAGACCTGTACGATGCAAACCAGGAAGCCCTGGACTGGCTGGAGCAGTGGGCTGACAAAATATGATGATGATGATAATGTGTTTATATCTGTTCAGTTCTCCATGCACACCAGCTGCTGAAGGATGAGTTTGCCCTGAGCATGGTATCCTGTAAGCTGGGAGATGACCCCAACACTTACTTCATAGTCGGCACCGCCATGGTCTATCCCGAGGAGTCGGAACCCAAGTCTGGCCGTATCATCGTCTTCCAGTACACAGATGGTAAGGTCTTCTCTGTGTAGGCTTGGTTGTTTGATGGATGTATAAAGCATTAGGTAAAAAATGACTAATAATGTTGAATGTGAATGTACATTGTACCAAGTACTAAGTACCAGCTCAGAAAAGTTAGTCTAGAAATAGTTATGCCTTGAAGTACCAGAGTTATCGACCAAGGATTGAGGTGTTCAAAAATTCTACTAGCAAGTACAGTATTCTGTTTGTTATACTGGCTATACAGATATAGATACAGATACAGGTAGTGAGTTTCAACCCAGGCCGAGTCATATAAAGACTTCAGAAATGGTAGCTGATCTCTTTGCTTACAAACACTATACTTAGAAAGAGTATTAAACACACACGGCTATAGCCAGTAGACCCCTGCTGTAGTCATTGCACAGCTGTGTGGCCCAAGGACTGTATAAACAGATGGGAGCCGCCTCTTGCACCGTTCTGGATGATGTCCTCAGTTTTTTTACTCATGTCTAGCTAGTGACAGGTTTGTTTTCTGTGCATTTTTTTAGGAAAACTGCAGCAGGTTGCTGAGAAGGAAGTGAAGGGAGCTGTGTACTCATTAGTACAGTTTAACAACAAGCTGCTAGCCAGCATCAACAGTACGGTAGGTGTTGTACTCATTAGTACAGTTTAACAACAAGCTGCTAGCCAGCATCAACAGTACGGTAGGTGTTGTACTCATTAGTACAGTTCAACAACAAGCTGCTAGCCAGCATCAACAGTACAGTAGGTGTTGTACTCATTAGTACAGTTCAACAACAAGCTGCTAGCCAGCATCAACAGTACGGTAGGTGTTGAGCTCAATCAGTGTTACTGTTAGCTTTAACTTATCCAGTTGGTACATGTAGGTAACTCAGTACAGACCCTTATAGACTACATGGTACTGCTTTGCACATACATGTACTACAATGATGCACCTCAGAATCTATTGTGTAATGTGTAATGTGTACAACAATGAATGAATGGGTCATTGTTATTACATTGAGAATGACACAGCATTTCTCATGGAAACAGCATTTCTCAATGTAACCCCAAATACATGTACTTGCCCCAGTCACAAATTCAGAACTTTCCCCTGAACACCAACCAACCAAGGTTGGCTGAAGTTTGGGAACAGTCTGACCATTTTTTTCTGACTTGCTATTATTAAGACTTGAGTCAATGATAAAGCAAATTTGAGTGGAATTTTACCCCTGAACATGCCCAGATCACTGCTGACTTCGGAACATCCAAACAATTACCAGCCAAACATGGCTGAGTCTCCAAATTGTTTTAAACATAAAATTGACACATTGGGTTAAACACGATAAACCAGATAGTGAGTGTGAGTGAGTGTGAGTTGGCTCAGCCAAACAGTACCAGACCTCTCTGAACACCAGCCAACCACAGTCGACCTTGCTCCCGACCTACATTATACTCCTAACCAATGTTGGGGGAGTTTGGCTAATGTTCAGGAGGCCATATTCTACCATACATGTACATGTATATATTCTACCATATGTAATGGGCTCTAAGCCTGAGATTTCTGTCTTCTTGGTGCGTTACAATCATTATGGGTTAGCAGAAAAACCTGTCCAGTCCGGGAGGCTAAAAAAACAGTCCTGGCTTCATAAGACATCAGTTGTGTTCACAGGTGTTGTGTTATCTTCTTCCAGGTGCGTTTGTTTGAGTGGACAGCTGAGAAGGAGCTGCGTGTGGAGTGTAACCACTAT